GTACTATTGTTTGTACAGATGAACGTGGTACCTTCAGGCGTTTGGAAATTGCTCCCAAGGATGAACCAGACTTGTGGAGGTCTACAATTTTTTTCTGAGGTCTTGGCTGATTTCATTTGATTTTCCCATGATGTCAAGCAAAGGGGCACTGAGTTTGAAGGTAGGCCTTGAAATACATCCACAGGTACACCTCCAATTGACTCAAATGATGTCAATTAGCCTATCAGAAGCTTCTAAAGCCATGACATCATTTTCTGGAATTTTCCAAGCTATTTAAAGGCACAGTCAACTTTGTGTATGTAAACTACTGACCCACTGGAATTGTGATACAGTGAATTTAAAGTGAAATAATCTGTCTGTAAACAATTGTTGGAAAACGTATTTGTGTCTTGCACATAGTAGATGTCCTAACCGACTTGCCAAAACTATTGTTTGTTTATCAAGAAATGTGTGGATTGGTTGAAAAACAAGTTTTAATGACTCCAACCTAAGTGTATGTAAACTTTCGACTTCAACTGTAGCTTGAGAGGATCTGCAGAGAAGAATGGGAGAAAGTCCCCAAATACATTTTACATTTTAGTCATTTAGCAGACGCTCTTATCCAGAGCGACTTACAGTTAGTGAGTGCATACATTTTCATACTGGTCCCCTGTGGGAATCGAACCCTCAACCCTGGCGTTGCAAGCGCCATGCTCTACCAACTGAGCTACACGGGACAGCAAATACAGGTGTGCCAAGCTTGTAGCGTCATACCCAAGAAGACTCGAGGCTGTAATCACTGCCAATGGTGCTTCAACAAAGTACTGAGTAAAGGGTGTGAATACTAATGTAAATGTGATATTTCAATTTAGCAAAAAAGTCTAAAAACCTGTTTTTGCTTTGTCATTATGGGGTATTGTGTTAAGATTGATGAGGAAAAAATGATTTAATCAATTTTACAATAAGGCTGTAACGTAACAAAATGTGGAAAAAGTCAAGGGGTCTGAATACTTTCCGAAGGCACATGAGTTAAAATCTGCCATCGCTTGACACTGTCAATACTTGGCTTCGAGAGGATTTATGTTATTACTGTGTAATTACTGTATAACAGTAAAATGTGAAGTAATGTATATTAACACTTACGACAATATGTCTAACTTTATGACACAGTTATTGAATGGCACAGTCAACTGTCCAAAAGGATAAGATATAGTTAGGCCTATATTTGGGGGACGTGAGATTATTTCCTCATTCCCTGCAACCATAAGAATCATAGACAAGCTACCCAGTCACTTAGGATGCCTATCTGTTGGAAGGGAAGGGAGACAGCTAAAGTAAACATTGTATTCCCCACACTATGCTAAGCAAAACCCAGGTTGAACCACCCATATATCAGACAGAGTTGTATTATTCAGCTCAATGTAGGCCACATAGCAGGCAACGGGTGGAGGAAATGTTTTACGCAGACACAGAAGTCCCAATATACTTAAGACACAGGCCACCTTGTTTGGGATCAGAATTTAGAATACCTACAACATACAATTCTAGCCTCACATATGGACCAGGAACACTTTGGAACTTGTGGAGGTCATGGGAAGTAAAAAGCTAAATGAGACCACATTATACTTGTAATATTATTACAATGTCGATCAACAGTTTTGGTGAGGACTGCTTTGTCAGGAAATGTGTTTGTGTTTAGATTTGTGTATTAGTTAATGTGATTTTGGAGTTTAAAGTGAACGAAGACCAAGGAAGGAGTGATATTCTTGGTTTGGTGTTACAGCTTGGTTACATCAGTGCAATGGTACAAGACTGCCCTCATGAGGTAGATGATAGAATTGACAACATTTTTCACTTTTAAGTAGCCTAATAAATGCAAGTTGGTAAAATGAACAGGAGAGGGCGACAATCGCCATCTGTACAGCCAACCATGATAGTGGGACCCAATATCCACCTTATTACAGTGTATTACTGTAAATATAGGCCTAACTATTGCTATGGCATCTCTTCAGTTTGGCTTTAAATTATTTAATTACAGTGGTTGGTGAGACCATGGTGCTTGCCTACGGAGCTGTGAGGGGAACGGCACCTCCGTACCTTCAGGCTCTGATCAGTCCCTACACCCAAACGAGGGCATTGCGTTCATCCACCTCTGGCCTGCTGGCTCCCCTACCTCTGCTGAAGCACAGTTCCCGCTCAGCCCAGTCAAAACTGTTCGCTGCTCTGGCACCCCAATGGTGGAACAAGCTCCCTCACGACGCCAGGACAGCGGAGTCACTCACCACCTTCCGGAGACATTTGAAACCCCACCTCTTTAAGGAACACCTGGGATAGGATAAAGTAATCATTCTAACCCCCCCCCTTACCCCACCCCCCCAAAAAAAAAAAAATTGTGAAGTGGTTATCCCACTGGCTATAAGGTGAATGCACCAATTTGTAAGTCGCTCTGGATAAGAGCGTCTGCTAAATGACGTAAATGTAATGTAAATGTAAGCACTGAAGTATCCAACCTATAGTTCTTAAAACCACTGTGCTCAGAACTTGTGCTGCGTAGACTAAAGATAAAACTTCAAATGCAGTGTACTTTATGAGGCCGTTAAAAAAAAAGATACATCTTAAGTGATGCTTTAATCAGTCTCTTGAGGAAAGGCCTACAAACGTTTTGGCGGTAAAGCCATCCTTAATGTTGGTTCCAACCAATAGCACCTGTCTTACATAATGCCAACCATGACATTGCATGAAAATGCTGTATAAAAGGTATTATTATTAATCAAAGTAGATGTGCATCTGACAATTAGATTTCAATGTAAGGAGCCACACATATTTTGGTTTCATTTTGAATAAAAAATTGACATATAGGCCTAAATCAGCATGGGTACTAGTGATATTAGTCATTATAAGGAGACATACAGTGGGGGAAAAAAGTATTTAGTCAGCCACCAATTGTGCAAGTTCTCCCACTTAAAAAGATTGTCATCATAGCACGTCAACTATGACAGACAAAGTGAGAAAAAAAAATCCAGAAAATCACATTGTAGGATTTTTTATGAATTTATTTGCAAATTATGGTGGAAAATAAGTATTTGGTCACCTACAAACAAGCAAGATTTCTGGCTCTCACAGACCTGTAACTTCTTCTTTAAGAGGCTCCTCTGTCCTCCACTCGTTACCTGTATGAATGGCACCTGTTTGAACTTGTTATCAGTATAAAAGACACCTGTCCACAACCTCAAACAGTCACACTCCAAACTCCACTATGGCCAAGACCAAAGAGCTGTCAAAGGACACCAGAAACAAAATTGTAGACCTGCACCAGGCTGGGAAGACTGAATCTGCAATAGGTAAGCAGCTTGGTTTGATGAAATCAACTGTGGGAGCAATTATTAGGAAATGGAAGACATACAAGACCACTGATAATCTCCCTCGATCTGGGGCTCCACGCAAGATCTCACCCCGTGGGGTCAAAATGATCACAAGAACGGTGAGCAAAAATCCCAGAACCACACGGGGTGACCTAGTGAATGACCTGCAGAGAGCTGGGACCAAAGTAACAAAGCCTACCATCAGTAACACACTACGCCGCCAGGGACTCAAATCCTGCAGTGCCAGACGTGTCCCCCTGCTTAAGCCAGTACATGTCCAGGCCCGTCTGAAGTTTGCTAGAGTGCATTTGGATGATCCAGAAGAGGATTGGGAGAATGTCATATGGTCAGATGAAACCAAAATATAACTTTTTGGTCAAAACTCAACTCGTCGTGTTTGGAGGACAAAGAATGCTGAGTTGCATCCAAAGAACCTTACCTTACCATACCTACTGTGAAGCATGGGGGTGGAAACATCATGCTTTGGGGCTGTTTTTCTGCAAAGGGACCAGGACGACTGATCCGTGTAAAGGAAAGAATGAATGGGGCCATGTATCGTGAGATTTTGAGTGAAAACCTCCTTCCATCAGCAAGGGCATTGAAGATGAAACATGGCTGGGTCTTTCAGCATGACAATGATCCCAAACACACCGCCCGGGCAACGAAGGAGTGGCTTCGTAAGAAGCATTTCAAGGTCCTGGAGTGGCCTAGCCAGTCTTCAGATCTCAACCCCATAGAAAATATTTGGAGGGAGTTGAAAGTCCGTGTTGCCCAGCGACAGCCCCAAAACATCACTGCTCTAGAGGAGATCTGCATGGAGGAATGGGCCAAAATACCAGCAACAGTGTGTGAAAACCTTGTGAAGACTTACAGAAAACGTTTGACCTGTGCCATTGCCAACAAAGGGTATATAACAAAGTATTGAGAAACTTTTGTTATTGACCAAATACTTATTTTCCACCATAATTTGCAAATAAATTCATTAAAAATCCTACTATGTGATTTTCTGGAATTTTTTTCTCATTTTGTCTGTCATAGTTGACGTGTACTATGATGAAAATTACAGGCCTCTCTCATCTTTTTAAGTGGGAGAACTTGCACAATTGGTGGCTGACTAAATACTTTTTTCCCCCACTGTACATGGTGTTGATTTATATATTTCTCACACGTTGAATTCAAAATGAGGAAACCAAAATATAACCATGGTTACTTTTCCTGGACCCCAGGTAGAGTAGCCACTGCCTTGGCAGAAGCTAATTGGGGATCCTAATAAATACTATACTTAAGCCTATATAATTGTCTGTGAAGGTGTGTAAATAATATAATTTTAGGTCTACAGTATACTATGGGCCACGTTCAGTAGTATGTCCCTAGGCTTGTCTTAGGAAGCCTCAATAAAAGTGTTACCTATTACTATTACAAAGGGGATATTAGACCTCATCCTAGACCCACTGTTATAAAAATGTATGTCCTTTAGGAGGGTGTTTCGATTTCTCGGCCAGACCATACTGTGATCTTAACACTATTCATGTCAAATAAAAAATAAAAACAATTATTCATTTCCATATTATTTTATTTTCATAAACCACAGAGCTATTGTCTTGATGATTTTACAAAACTATATTGCACTTACAGAGTGAAATACAATTTGTTGCTGTCCAAGAGTGAAAATGCATTGCCCTTACAAGTTTTTAAATATTTTGCCCAGAGCTTCAAGTATATCTAGTACAGTTTTGGGAGAATATTTCCTTACAACGTTAGCATCATTTTGTATACAAAATGTATGAAACATTGAAAGGCAGTGTTTAGTACCTCATTTAATTAAGAGCACTTTGAGAAGCTTAATAAGCCTAAGTATTCAAACAATTAAATAGAAGATTTAAAAAAATGTTTTGAAATGTGCATAGTTTTATTGTAAATACTATAGAAAACCATAGAAATTCTGGTGATTCTTGTAAACAGCAACAAAATATCAAAGTTATGCAGTAGGCGTAAGTGATAGAAATCAAATGTCCATTTACATGTAGGCATATGTACAAAGAATATTGGGTAGGCTACAGCCCTTGTTCAGTGTTTTATTTCAAAAGCCAAAATAGCAACCATCAGCAGTCACCAACACTCAATAATTTAAATGGAAGAGTAAGCAAGAAAGGCTCTCCTTTTCCTTAAATATTGTACTACCATAATTTAGAAGAGAATAATAGTATGTACAAGCATTTACATGTCATGTCCAGTCTATTGCCATGATACAAAAATAGAACGTTCAAAGTCAGATCCAACTGTCTCTGTTTACATGTGCCTCTTCATGTGCAGTGCGAGGTGATCTGAGCGCGAGAAGGCCCTCTCGCACAGGTGGCACTGGAAAGGCCTCTGACCGGTGTGCTTCCTATAATGACGAGTCAGCTCGTCAGACCTAGCAAATTTCCAACCGCAGCCTTCCCAATTGCAATGGTACGGTTTCTCACCTGTGGATTACAAGGACAATACAGTTAGATTTTTGTGCATAATAGGCTAGTGTGTGTAATTATTTTTTGAAAACATAGCAGATAGATTCCAACAAAACAGAAGAACATGTAGGTTATATAGTAAATTAAATGTGCAATTACCTGTGTGTGTTCGCATGTGAGCCTTTAGATGGGAACTCTTGGTGTAAGTCTTCCCACATCCTGGGAATTCACAGCTGTGCGTCGCCGTGCGCTTTCTCGCCCATGACCGGCGGCCCCGTTTGGGTTTGCCATCTTCTGGCGCGTAGAACTCCAAAAGTGGCGAAGATGGTGGGGTCAATATCACCCCCGGCATGGACGGGTGGTGCACCCGTATGGGCTCCCTGAACATCCTGTACTGTCCATGATACTGTTGCGCACCTTGGTGATGCGCGTACTGCGGTGGATATGGCTCATACTGTTGCGGGTGTGCCATGTGAGAATGCTGGTGATGAGAGTTCATCTCTGCCAAGTGACAGTCTTTGCGCCCCATCCGATCTCGGGACACATTCTGTTGCATGCCGTGAGGTACAAACCCCTGAACAGCAGGTTGATGGTGCGCAAACTCTGTGTGCATGGAAAGCATGTGTTTCTCGTCATACATGTGTCCTATGAAGTCACCTGCCATCATGCACGACTGCTCAGTGTTTTCTGTCTTTATTTTGTATCCCATGGGATGAGAGTTGGTCACTTGTAAGTGGACTGGAGTGGCAGTGGCTATGTTCAAAGCACGCAGTTCAGTGTACTCCCGCCTGTCCGTGGCAGGACGCTTCAGCCTGTAGTCTAGCAGTGTGTCGCTCTGATAGTTCATCTCTGGGGTTAGCAGCTCGGCTACCAGACTGTGCCCAGGACTTGTGTTGAAGTTATAGCTGCCATAAGCGTTGGGTGTGAGCTGAGAACCGTCACTGTCATGCCCTGTGCTGCAGCTTTCCGGCGACTCAGGCAGTGAGTATGAGCACGACTGTTGAGATGAGTTGTTATTGTTGTTGGTTCCACTTTCAGATCCAATGGTGTTGGATAAAATGAACTCTAAATCCAAGAATTTCCCCAGGTCATCTTCATCTCTGGTCACTGCAGGTGATTCAACGATACTGAGCTCCACTTCGATCTGGGATCTCAAGTCATCACCTGTTGTTCTGGTATTACAACCATCTACTTTCCAGTCCTATAATGTAAATAAAACGACATTGGCATTTAAATATTGTTTCAGTCAAGAACCTCTTTCCAAAACAGTTGTTGATTTTTCTTTGTGTAGCCTATATAGGCTATACCCACTGGACAGATAAGTAAGTTTTGATTTACCTTTGTTTGAGTCAACTAACGTGAATTCAACGTGAAATGTGAATTCAACGTGAAATCAACCAAAATTGTCACCACGTATTTGGATTTAGGTTAAAAGTTGGGTGGGAAATTGACGAAATTCCCTTAGGTTAATTGCTTTTTTCAAATCCAATCAGTTTTCCACGCTGATTCAACGTCATCACATTGCATTTTTTGGGTTGAAATTACGTGGAAACAACGTTGATTCAAACAGTTTTTGCCCAGTGGGTACATTTATCTCGTGCAAATGACAATGGCTAAATAAACAAAAGAAAAGCAAGCTATAGACTTAAATTGCACACTATGTTATCAACTTTGTATTTTAAGCTAGTTTCTGTTGAAGAAATTACATCGGGGGAAAAAAGTACACTTACATGGACAATTGCAGACTGTCTTTCCTCCATAGTCTTACTGCTGGAAAACGTAGTAATCGACGGCAGCATCGCATCAGCGAGAGCCATTTCAAAATGTTATTCTACTTAACCTTTCACACCTGTCCAAATTCAGTAAGGCAAACGAAGCTGAAAGATTTACCACAAAACATCTAACGATACGCAATCCAACTCTTAACCAAACGATATAACCCCTGATTACTGTAGTGCCAGCCACTTATAGCCCCGTCCCTTTGTGGGCGTGTCAGAAGCCGTTTCACCTGTCGACCAATAGGGTGAAGTGCTGAGGTAGGCTATACTTTTATTATAAAATCTTACAAAATATCAAAATCGTATTTACAAAAGCCATAGTATGTTTGCCTTAATTAAATAGTCAAAGGGTTGTATCGGGCATATAACACTTTACTTTTCAGTAAGTTTTACTTTGCAGAGAGAGCTGTGATGATGAGAAAGCTGTCATGATATTGAGTTTCAAAAAAGCCAAGTTGAATTTGTTATTATCATTTGTGAAGTCTATAGTTGTGCTATTACATTTATTGCAACTCTATTACCCTCTGATTTCAATCAAATTATTAATCAATAATAATAACCATGTAATAACCATTTATTAATATTACTATATTATTCTATATATATATTATAAGGAGACTGTTCTACATTTATATTTATTGATAGTCATTTGAAACATTGTCCCCTGTGCTTTCCCACTCAAAAACAAGGACTTCAGATTCTATCATGGAATATAACTGAAGGGGGCAGGCGACACTTACCCTGTGCAAACTCGCTATGCAATTAGTTCAATAATATGATAATTTGTCTGATATAATTAATCTGAAATAAAGGGATAATGGTTTATACCCTTCAGTAAATAGTCATGACAGTATGGCCTTCTGAATTAGACCAGTCAAAATAAATATTTTCAAGTGTTTTAAAAGTAGCAATCCTAGGCCTAACACTCATGAACGTAACACCCGATGATTGCATTATTTTGTAAGTAAAATATCCAGCTACTTCTAGAGTTTCGTTTCACTTCTCTCTAACAGACCTTATTTTCGATTTGACAATCTATAGATAGGCCGAATCTCAATCGGCAATATCATCAATTTGTCTCAACGTGATCCCCTAGTTGTTTAACATTTAAACAAATAGAAATGTGTGAACTTGTGACATTTTCAGGGCCATCGAAACAACTTGTTAATCTTGACCGTAATGTTCGTTAATGATCTTTAACATAAACAAACCCATTCGTTGGCTTGATTATTATGGAAATGAAGGTACTTGGCGCATAGAGCATCTGTTGCTGGGCTTGCCGTCCTGATTACAAAGATGAATTGTTCAAACATGTTAGGTCATAGAATCATATACTTTTTTTGTTGAGCTGGAACTATACCATTTAAAGAATTTTACAAACAAATATCGTCTGATGACATGACCAGCTGCAAAAAAAGATTTGAAACATTGTGTTGGGCAGCCAAGGTTCTGCTTCAAGTCCCATGCACTATCATGCTATATTGTAGGCCTATTTTTTAATAGACTACAGGGGTAGTTTCTAATTGAGGGAAAAGTGAGTAAGAGATATGTAAATTCTCTTTTATTCAGAATTAAACCAGAGACTCATAGCCTATCTAGAGCTCATTTGCCGAGTGGACTGCCCTTCAAGAGAATCTACTCCATGCCTTTATACCCTGTTATTTTTAAACGTCCTACGCAAATCAGATTCAGTAACCGTTGTGTCTGGAGCCAAGTGGAAATGGAGTTAGTTTCCTGAGGAAAAACGGGACACTTTTGCTGCACTCCACTTTCACTCTTCTGTGACTGCGCGTACCACACACGCGCTCGCACGTTATTCATTTTTTTACAGTGTCATAGATACTTAACCAGTCAATGTCATGTCCACCGATATAAAGTAGATATTTCGTTTTTGGATTTTGGCTCAATGTCAACCGAAACGAAAGCACTATTAAAAAGTTTTAGTAAAAATGAAAACGTCCATAAACAACTCATCATTAAACTCATAACGTATAGGTTGCTATAGACCTGCTACATGTTAAGAAAGAGACGAAAGGACATAGAAATAAGAGGTTGTAGAAAGGCACAAAAGGAGAAAGCTGTTTCCTATCTTGTATTGTATTTACAATAAGACATTTAGGACAAATAGAGAGAGAGATAAGAATTGCTGGTACAGGGTCACATTTCTCCTTTTGTATTTCTCTGTGTTCAAAGAGAGGAAGGCTCCTCTTGTTTTCTAAACACAATCTAGAAGATTGCACATTGGCAGACAGTGCCATGGCCCACTTCCTGGATACATTTCATTTTACTTACAAGGAAATATATGATGGGACATAACTTGTCTTGATTAATTATTTTGCAAGCAGCTCAATCCAAAAATATAATTGTTCTCTCTGGACTGTAATTTTCTCATAACTTACGCCTAAACCATACCTCACAATTACTTATTATTGTGATTAAACATTTTAGCTTGCAAATCTAACTTGAGTTGCTGCAGCAACCATTGGTTTCAGTGAAAGAAAACATAACAGAGGTGGTGTAAAAGTATGATTTGTTTCCACACACAGCAGTGGTCCTCTTCCATTACATTGTCATGCATATATGTGCTATAAGTGCATGATAACATATGTTTACACAAATGGGTTTATGTCCAAAGATACAATTATGTTTTGTAGACTAAGCAGCAGTCACACCACAATAAAAAGGACAGTGTCAATGGGCTTTTTATATGATGCATTTATTTTGACCAGATTTGGACAATTGTAAGCACCCTTAGCCTTAGCACCTACACCGTGGCCTTTTGTGCATGGATGTTTCTACTTATGGTTCTATATGAAAGTATTCTTTCTGTCAAGATTACACATTGTGGCTTTATCAAATATATTTTGTGGTTCATCACGAGTTCTTCAGAATCTATTCCACCTCTACTCTGATTGATGATGACTACCTTTCTTTTTGAGTCACTCATCATTCTGCCCTGTAATTGGCTCTCTGTCTCTATCGCATGATTGTTAGTCATCACAAGCTAAGACAGATGGATCATGTCTGTTCAAAATAAATAATATATCCTCACACTATGTCAGCAGTAGTATGGAGGTTGATTCCCGCACAGCAGTAGTTGATGTTACTTCAATCCATGGCAGCCATATCACTCAGCCCCATTAGTGTGACCAAGTAAATATTTGTGCCCACCATCACTACCTCCATTCCCGTTCAATCTTCCCTTAGCCTGCTGACCATGTTATCTGTCTGAACAAGCCTAGAAGGCTTCTCTCCTCTCTGTCTCCTGAAGGAGACTGGACAATAACAAAGAGGCTGGAGACGAGACCTCAATCACCACATGACTGGTTAAATGTCCCAGCCAGGAGCCAGCCGACCTGTCTGCTAGAATGAAAGGAACAACCAACACAGGTTACTTCAGATGCCATATCTTAATTTGATCATCCTGTTGTTGCACGACTTTTCATGCACAGCAGGAAATGCAAACTTGTAGTGCATTCCAGGTTTAAAAAGGCTTCTAAAGTTTGTAATTCCCACTTTAAAATGTCAGACTTGATTTGCCCTAATGAAAAATGTATAAACCCCTACATAAAATGTCCATTAATTATAACCCACATAATAATTCACATTTCCTGTTGCTGCAGGATTATTTTCCTGCTGTAGCAAACTGGCTCAAATTAAGATTCTACATCTGTGGTGTGTGTGGTGTGTGTGTGTGTGTGGACTAAGCAGAGAAGCCTGCCTAGATACCCCATACCACGACAGTCTCAGGACAGAGCACACAATTAGAGATTTTCACTGATTGTAGTTGTGTTTTTGTTGCAGAAACTTTTGAACATATTTTTAATGTTGTTGGTCCTTTCATCATGGTGTGTTGTGTTGGTCATTAGACCATCCTACATCCTTCTTCTCTCTCTTCTCTCTCTTTGATGCATGATAATAATAACCCAGAAGTGGTTGGGACATACTGTAGTCTTTATTTCTTCTTCTTCTTCCCCCTCTTTTCCCACTGTTATGTTTATCTTCCTGTCTGACTGTAGTTTCACTCAGGCACTTCGACAAATGAATTACAATCTAATCTGGTGACTCCAGTCACTAGTAATTATCTTCCATCCCAGTAGCAGAGGGGAAACCCACTGCTATCTAATATAAATACGCTGCCTTGCATGACATGAAAAAGAAACACAGAAGCTTTACCTTTTCTAATATATCAAAGGAGGTGAGGCTATTGGTCAATGAGAGAGGGAGTAGGAACAAATACAAAGTCTTGGGATAATCATGGGAAAAGAAAAGCAATAACACTGGCTGGGTAGTGGCTGGCTGACTGACTATTCAGTAATTCTGCTCTTCCTGAGAGCAGCACATGTGTGCTACATTAACCACTCTGTTGTATGGACTGTGCTGGAACCTGCTGGCTCACTGTGAAGTTGAGTGGAGGTGTATGGCACTATAATGATACCTGAGTCTACTGTACCTGACCTGGCCATCACAGTGATTTTGCAGTGATGTCCATCTCTTTCCACAGAGTTTTACAGTCTGCTGCTTTCACTGGCTCACTGGCTTACTGGCTCCTGATGGCCCCTGACCCAGCCAGGGTCCTGTTCTCAGTCACTCATCCCCCTCTTGGGCCCTTTGTCCTGGGATGTAATTGCCCTTGCCGGCTTTGGAGGAACCCTTGTCTGGGGACACAAAACCGTCTCTCTGTGTGTCTGCATCTGTCTGGGGTCAAAAGGACACCCCAAGAGGACCTGTTTCAGCTCTCCTCGCTCTCCTACTCACTAACAATGGGGTAAATACCTGGGAAAAGCAATTATTTGCTCTCCTATCTGTTCTCCAGCTTTTCATATTCTACTGCTGCAGTCAGAATTCAGTTGAGCCAAATAAATATTGTGTCACTTACTAGAGTCCCCGCTTGAACACAATTAGGCTAGCTAGACTCTCCATCTCACTTTTGAAACTTCAGCCACCTAAATGTTTACAGCACAGGGAATCACGTTTGATACTCCTTTATGTGTGAAGCCACTACCAACTGAAAATAAATACATTTCATTATCAAGTAA